TAAGAAATAAATCGATCCCCTAATCCACAGAGACTGTACAAAGCACTCKCTTCCAGGGCACCCCAAACCTGTTTCTGAGCGGCAGCTGTTTGGGTTAATAACCCCATTGATTGGGATGTCTCCCTTTTCCTGCTCTCCCCTCTGCTCCSAGGGTTTCTCCTTGAAAGGTGAGGCTTTTCCTCAGGCTGTTTTCCTGCCAGGCTGCATCAATTGCTCCCCCTCAATGAGCAGTGGCAGCTTTGCTCAGAGTGGGAGGGATTATTCAGGGCAGTCCCTGSAGCAATTCCTGGTTAGCAGGGGTTTTATAAAATTCCCAATCCAGAGGGAGAGCAGCAATTGATGAAGCAGGGTAGGGCTCTGGCCAGCCTGTGGGGTTTAATAAGAACACGTAGAGATAAATAACCAGAAAGGGCAAGTAAAAAAAAAAAAAAAAAGATAGTAGAAACATGTATTTGAAATTAAACTTTTTTGAAAAAACCAATCTGGATACAGAGGGACTTCTGGCAGGAGAACTACCTGGGGAGCAATCCTGCCCCTCCGTGAGGCAATGCCAGGGTAACCCCAGAGGAAACCTGCASACAAACACCACAAATATTTTAGATATTTGCAGCAAGCATCAATTTAGCAATTACTGTTTCATAATTTATTCACTTTCCCATTAAAAGGTACATTCACTGCACAAGATTTAAACACCTTTCTGGTAGTTTTATTTACACTATGCAGCGTGCTCTGTAAAACACAGGAGTGGTCACAGACAGACACACACAGGTATTTTCAAACATTTAAATAAGTACAGTTTATTCCAAAGTAAGTCTACACACTACTTTTTTCCATAAAAATATAAAAAATAGTTTAGTTACTGTATTTTACCTAAACCAAGATACTTGAGAATTCTTCCACAAGTGATGCCCCCTCCCCAAAAAGGGCACTCCAACAATAMGAAATTCAGGAGATTGCATCAACAAATAAAACACTAAAGCCAACTGCTTCAATCCACCAGAAAAACAAATAATTCCCACTCTGCATCCAGCAATCCCTGTTCTGCAGAGTRTTTGATCTGCTTTTGTTGGGTTTGTGGGGTTTTTGCACTCACTTGTTTCTCCCAGGGCAGTTTCCACAAACACGTTCACCCTGTCACAAAGAATGATTGAATTTCTGCAGACTGTCACCCAGCACGTGCCCACCAACACAGCCTGGCAATCCTGCATTTCACACATTCCTGGGGAAACACATCCAAAGGGAAACACTGTCCTCTGAGACCTTTATTTCAATTTTCTTAGAGCACCCGGAGAGAAAACAGTGCCCAGTTTTATTTGGTGCTATTTCTCTGGTTTTGCTGACCTATCCTGGATGGGAATATTCTGATGGAGCTCTTCAAAACACCCACTCCAGCCCTTTCTCACTGGGGGCCACTGAATTTACAAAAAAAAGGCACAAAGATGGAACTCCTAAAGCAGCAGCAGCCCCAATGCACCGAGCTGCTGCTCTCCAACACCAACACTCTGTGTCTCAGGAAACACTTCCAATACACAAACCAAGGACACAAGGGAGTGAAAAGCCCAGAGGCTCTGGGCAGGACAAGCACGACATTGATCAGTAACAAATCAACACTAGCTCAACTGGATGGTGCAGGTAAGACTCGACCTGGAAGCATCAGGAAAAGCCATTGGAACACAAGCTCAGCAGCACAGAATCCATTTGTCACCAGTGAGATGGGAGGCTCTGTGTGTGACACGTTCTGCATTCAGGTTCAACAATGCCACAGCTCCACAGCAGCACTGAAAAACTTCTGCTTTTAACAGTTTAGAGGATTTTCTCAATGGAAGTGAAGCTGTCATTAACAGAGGAACAGCACGTGATGCACAGCACAATCTGCAATAAAAAGCTTTTGCTTTCCAGCATGTAAACATCCAGGTTACTGGACTTCAGCTCATATAAACAAATCTGATGATAGATTTTTTTTGTAACTAAAAAAGTAAAATCTCCCATAAAAGGATAAACCACAAAAATACTCTCTCAGTAAGTCTCACGTGCCATTTAATACCTTCCATGTCCTATGAACAACTATGYAAAACACTTAAGAAAGTTTGAGCAGTAGAAATGTCGACCATTGAACTTTTGGCAGCCGTGTGCTCCAGACCCTGCGAGGGCATTGTCACTTGCTCCACAGTCCTGCACCTCCCCAGCTATTTCTTCTTTTTCTTCTTTGGGGGCTCATCCTCAGAGCTGCTGTCTGWGCTGCTGCTGCTGCTGCTGGAGGAGCTGGAATCCGAGTCGAAGTCGGAGGAGGAGGAAGAGCTGCTGGAGGAGGGGGAGGATGAGGAGGAGGAGGAGCTGTCCTCACTGTCACTGTCTGAGGAGGAGGAGGAGGTAGAGGAGTCCTCGCTGTCAGAGGAGGAGTCGCTGGCTGAGCTGTCACTGCTGCTGCTGCTGGAACTGGTCACACTTTTGGACCTGAGGGAGAACAAAGAGCTGAGCACAGCCCTGCCAGAGCCCATCACAGAGTGTTCTCTCTGCTCTGTTGTAATAATCCAAAGATCAACCATTTGCCTTGAAAATTTCCAGGCCTCACCATCGAAAGTTCCAGGCCTCACCATCTAAGATGAACTCCTGTGCCCTCCCCTCCCTTTTGCACTGCTGGATGAATGGATTTTGGCCATTTGAGGAATGGCAGAGTGGCCCCAGAACACGACATAACMCAGCAGGACTGCAGAGAGAGGGAGGGTGGGAAAGCTGGCCAGGATCTCATTTCTAACCAGGACCAGCAGCTTTACTGGACTGTCCTGTACAACCCAAGCCCCGGGGAAAATGAACCAAAGTTCCTGCCTCACCACTGCAACAGAGTGAAATTCTGGCCCTGCAAGAGTCAGGGGAGGTTTCATCAGATTTCACCAAGGTCAGAGCTGCTCCCAACAAAAACTGTTCTTAGATTACTCCTGGCAAAAGAACCCAAAGGACCTGCCACTACAGGATGCTTGTGTTTTCCAGGTGGAGGAAAAGGGTGGAAACAATCCAAGATTAAGACAGAATGATGAACAGAGCAAAGAGGATTTCTGTATCATCTGCACAGATGTTTTTTTTAATGTTCAGCCTTCCTGGGGCCGTTGTTCTCAAGATCAACATCTCTGATTAAGGGAGATGATCTGAATTCCAAGAAAGCACAATTCAATTCTCCCAYAGATCTTTCCCCAAAGTACAAGATACTGATTTACCTCCTTTCCCACCAAAGTCAATCAAAAAACATCCAAAAATGTAAATTATGATAATGCACAATCTTGTTTCCATTAGAAAATTAACATCCTAGTTTTTATCAGAGGGTCTGCTTAGAGGAAGTGCCTGTGTTAAGGTTACTGAAGACTGTGAGGTTTTGTCATATCAGCCCAGTCAACTGACAAATGTGGGTGTGGATTGAGCCACAAAGCACTGAAGTTTTCATAATACATCTGTAATCTGGTGTCACTGTGTGCAGGCACAAGAGTTTCGTTAGAGATAAATCCATAAGGGCTGGGTAAATACTGACTTATCTGGGGAAAAAACAGCACTAAGAATACAAAAAAAAAATGGAGAAGTAGTTTCCATCTGACCACTTCCATGAGATGGGCAGGAATCAGAGGATCCCCTGCATAACTCTGAACTTGTTTTTSCTGATCACCTTTCACAGAATCCGTAATAGCAATCCATGGACATCCAGTATTTAGCTTTATTCCAAAATCCTCTCACAGAAATATGGGGATATTGCACTTAAAGCTGCCTCCCCCAGAGGGGAGCTATAGCTGGGGCTGGGAGAGGAAACAGGCAGCTACTTATTCTCAGGTGAGGTAACTCATGGGATGTTGGTACTGAGGATGGAGATGGGAGCAGGTAAATGCCAATACAGAATGCAGTTAGGGAATGGGACACTGCAGAGGCCAGAAAACTGAGATTTTGGGGTTTTCACACCTCTGTGAAAGCAAAGAATTGCTCCAGCAGGTACCACTCATCCTYCTCAGGACAAGTTTCCAAGAGTTCATCTCTGATTCTGTGCTCCAGCATGGGCCAAGTGCAAGCTGTCACCCTCAGGTTGTCACCCCCAGGCTGTCCCCCCCAGGCTGTCACCCTGCTCTGCTCCAGCACCCCCAGGGCTTTTCCACGTGCCACTGCCACCCAACCCACAATTGTGGGCACAGCCACACCTGGGGCCTGAGGAAAGGAGGGAATTAGGAGTGAATTAGGAGTGAATTAGGACATAATCCTAGCCTTCAGAGCAGCAGATTTACCTGTGCTCCAGTATCAAGTGGGCTCTCAGTGGATCCCTCACGTATTYTGGGTGGGAATCTGAAGCCAAGGAGCAGCTGGGAGGCAGCTCTGTGTCACCTGGGGTCACAGGGCTCTGCCTCAGCCTGTTTTTCTGGTTAAGCCTGAGCTCCCTTATTACTGTTTATATCAAAACAAACACACTCTGTGTAAAAGGTTCATGCTCCTCCTGCCAGAACCCAAAGTTTTATTTTAAATCTGGAACTCAAGTGGATTCCCCATATTTAATTCTCCTCATATCATTAATAAAAATCTAAATAGCAAATTATCTGGAATTTATATTGATGGATTCTGTGCTTGCATAGAAACAAGAGAATAATTTGAATTTACAAGAGTTTGAAAATTTCAAGGAAAAAGTGCCCAAACCACCCCCTTCTCCATGAACCCYTTTGTTCTGCTCATTTTTCCACTTGTTTGGAGCTCAAATACTCTGTAAATAATTATGTCAGTAAAGGCTGCAGCATCTGAGGATGCTGAGGCAGGAACAGGCCTGAGCTGCCCAGCTCAAAACCAGTTAATTCATGATCTCACCAGTCCTGAGTAACTCCAGCAATAAAAATGGGCACTTCTGGGAAAACAGCCTCTGCTAGAGCACACTGTGACAGCCCAGCATTCCAATAAACCACATTCCACAGAACAGCCTGGAATACAGGAACTCTTTAAAATCTGCTCTGCCTTATTTACTGCCTACCACACACAGCAACAGGCCTGGCCTTTAAACACCTCCTGAAAACTGGCTYAGATCAGACTGAGAGCACTGACAATAAATGGGAAGAGAGGCTGGGGCTGTTACTGCACAGACATTCCCTGGAGCAGAACTCCCAACACGATTCCAGGAGTGTTACAGCCACAACAGTTCTGGCTGTTCCTGCAGCAACTCTGCTAAGAGAACAAACTCCCCAGCAAACATTAATGCAAAGTAAAACAAACAATGGCAAAAGAGTTCTTGGCTCCAACTAGGACTTGGAAAGSGGCAGGGTTATTTCCTGGATTTGGGTTTAGTTTGGGATTGAGGGGGTTTTATTTGGTTTTGGGGTTTTTTTAGATGCTTTGTTTCATCCTCTAGACAAAGAAGCAGAGAATTGACAGGAGAAGGGAATGAAAACAACCAAAGGCAGAGCAGGATGGGCAGGTGAGCAATGAGAGACCACAAAACCCCGTGCCAGTCTTGCACAAGTGTTTCAGAGACACCTGATGGACTTTGAGGCAGAAATAGGAAGATGGACTTTGAGAAATAGGAAGACTTTTATTACTACAGCAAGATCATGTAGGGGGAGAAAAATCAGCAGGGAGAAAAATCAGCAGGGAGAAAAACAGAAACAAAATTGAGATTTTGGACAGCAAGGAGTAGAGATTCTCCAGATGTCTGTCAGACAAAAGCCTGTAATGGGCTCAAAGCAGTAAAATCAAAACCTATTTGCAAAGTTAACTTYTGCTATCCCCCTCCCAATGTCCTGCTGGAACAGCCAGTGCAGRACCAGTCCCCCCTGGAACAGCCAGCACCACTCCCACCAATCCCCACRTACCTTTTTTTCTTGGTTTTCTTTTCTGCAGCACTTTCTCCRGCACTAATTAAGGGGGAAAAGATAATGACTTTGATTAATGCAATAGGAAAATTAAATAAATAGCAGCACAATGAGGCTGAGTTTAATATTCAAAGGGCACTGGGCAGCTCAGTCCTTTGCAAAGCAGAGCAAAACTCAGCTGCAAGGCAGGGGAGGAAAGCCCAGCAATTCACCTCTAATGTTCTGTGTTATTTATGTTCTATTCTCCCCTTTGCCTCATTTTATATGGTCAACAGCAGTTGGGATKTCAAAGGCACAGCAGAAAAGGACACAATGAAGTTGTGTGTAACTGTAGTTAGCAATAACTGAATTGATAGAAATCAAGGGTAAAAGCTTGACTTAGCCTKTAACTTTCATACTTCAAGTGCAAAAAGAAAAAGAAAAATGTATTTATATTCATCCTTTCCAGCTATGTGTCTTTCAGATTATTCCCAAGTGTTCATCCACTCACACAGCTTGAGTGGTGACACAGAACAAAGTTCTTTGTGTACCAGAAAAATATATTTTTACATATAAGGAATGAAAACATTATAATCACACAGAAAAGTGCTCTGGGCTGGGCTCAGWGCTCCAACATCACCAGGAATGAGCATTCCCTCAGTTTCCTGCCTTTCCAGCCCCTGCTCTACGCTGGGCAGGCAGCGAGGGCCTCACTGACACCTCCAGAGTGTTCACAAAAACTGTGAGGCCAACACCAGGCAAACACAGGGATCCTGGAACAACTGGGAAAGGAATTCATGCTGAGAAAGCCTGGATGTGGTTGTCAGAAGTAAATATTGACCTTATTAGGYTGGGTTTGCGTTCTGGTTAATGATTCCTGTGTGGGTCTTTAGAGGTGGTGACACAGACCTGTGGGACACCCAACTTCTCCACAGGCAAGGAAGAACCTTCCAGAGCAAGTGGAACAAAAAGYACAAGTGTGACCCAGGAAGTTGTTTTTACTTGGAAGAGTAGCACAGGCAGCTAAGGAGCAGGATCCCTCCAGGCACAGCTAAGGAGCTTATGATTACATAACCCCTGTGAATCCAGCCCAATTTATCCAGGATTAAACACTGCTCCCACCTAGGGATTACTCAGGCTTCCTTTTACAAGATGTCTTTACCCAGCACATGCCCTTCCCACCCAAACCCTCCCTGTGCCAGACTGGACAGTCCTGGCACTCCCCCATAAAGTGATCCCACACTCAGACTCAAGGCCAAGGATGAGASAAGGAATTTCACCCTCAGTTCCCCATCCTCCAGTGCTCATCTGCAGAATCCACCAGAAAAGGGGCAGAAAAGCAACAAGGAAATAGTCTGAGCCTTAAATTCAAATTTAGCCTAAAAATCTTGAGTCTCTGAAGAGACTCTGTCTCCAAATGGAGCCAAGTTTCAGAGTCCAAGTGCTCCTGATGTCTAGCTACAATACTGAGTGATTCTAATTACTTCCCAATTACTCACTGGATCAAAATTAATTCCAAAATCAATCACTGTGCATCACTCTTCTCTCAGGCTAATGAGCCTCCACTTCAGGCASTGTTTCAGCCCTGTGACTCATAACTGCTGCTGAGCTGGAGCAATGACAGGTCCTGTCTGCCCGAGGTCCCACCCTTCTCTGTCCCATCAGCAGAGCAGCAAAAGCTGGGAATGCTCTCCACAGCTCCCATCCTGGCACTGGGATGAGCTGCAGCCAGCACACACAGCTGAAATGGCAGTGACTGAGGGCACAGGGCCAAATCCTCAGGAATTCCAGGTGCAAGGAGTGGCCCTGGGAGTGACACTGTGCCTCTCCAGCTCCCGAAACCAAACTGGAGCTGATGGCAGAAATGACCCTCACACGTGGGAATGTCATGGAAAACTGATGTGCTGACTTATTTGTCTCTCTGGAACTGCTTGTTCAAACAATTATTAACCTGGGGGGAAGCATGAAAATGCATTTCCAGAGCAAAGTGGAAAGGAATCAGGTGCCACATGCAGAGTTTTGTTCAGGTTTCTTCTACTTTCTCAGATGTCACAACAGCAAATAATTGTGCAATTCAGTGAGATGTTTTTACTTCATGTTGGAGTTAAACCTGATAACCCAACTCTCCTTCACTTGTTTGACCCCTGCAGCTCMCAGGGAGCAGCAGGAGCTGGGCTGGGCCAGGTTTAACTGCAAATCTRAACAGCAAACCTGGACACAGGGCAAGAGCTGCTGCTTTGCTATAAATAAATYTACAGCTTTCACACCCATCTGCTTGGACAGTACATAAACGTGAAAGGAAATCAGGAAACTACTCYGCTACCAAAAAGGTCCCAACTATTTTAATTTTGGCTTAGTGCATGTTTTTTGTTTCAGACAGGCCARAACARTTTTAAGTGTATTTCAGAAAAGCAKCTRTTAGTGAAARACTTAAATAAAAAGGTTAATTTTAATTATCTGGGACCTGAATGTACATATTTCACCTAACACACAATCAGCTCTAACACTAAGCACACATCACACAATCTGGAGGAAAAGATCACAGAAAATRGTGTGGGGCAAACATATTTTCTTTTATTTCATTAGCAAACCAGACATTTCATCCTGCCAATCTTACCTCTGTTGCAGCAGGAGTTGCTTTTCTTTCTCTTTTAGGATTTTGGCCAGCTGAGCTGTCCTTGAAGGCCTGTGCAGGTATTTTCTCTTCCCTGTACATTCATATGTCCAGTGGCCAAACTCTAAACACTTCTGACACCTCACATGCTGYTTGTTTGCCTCCCTAGAAAAATGCAGAATGGCTTAAGTGACTCATTCCAGTCTGTTCTACCCAGTGAAAAAAATATTTATTTATTATCATGCAGCTTTAATCATGTTATGATTAAATCAAATGTTCACAGGTGCTTCAGCTTTTCTCTTGAATCAGGACTTGAACAGTAACATCAAGAACACACAGAATTCAGGCAAACARATCTTCATTTATTAAAACACTTCCACATGGGAACAATTACATTGCCCAATTTGCTGCTATCCAACAGCTGCAGGTGGTTCTGGCTTCAGGGAAATCATYGAAATGATGTTTTAGATCAGTGTCAGCAAAGAGCAGCAGCTTCATTTCCAGTTCCTAGAATTTAACACTCAAATCCCAAAGCACACAATTCTCACACACAGCCCAGGACTCTCAGGGGGGCTCTCAGTAAATCCAAATAAGCTACACCCAGGAATTGTTAAAGCCTGGCAGAAGGTTTATCTTTGGAACAATCAGATTCCTGCTCATTTWGTGCAGAATCAAGCCAGACTTCCTGGACTGCCCTGTTCCCCAAACACCTGCAGCAGCAGAGAGATTTCACACTCAGTTCTCACAGTGGTAAAATCCCCTGGGCATTTTTAGAAACCAAGGAAGGGAAAACATTCCTATTTTCATGCTGGAGCTCTTAAGCTGATGTGCTGAAGCTCTGCAAAGCCGTTCTGTCTCCTCTCCCAGCTGCTCTCCTTTACAAACAAGGGAACTCACCCAGCCCAGGGACTGCTCAAGGTCACAACCAAAATTAGTTCTGAGCCAGGGCTTGAGCTCAGGCCTGGGTCATTTCACTTTCTGCCACCTTCAGCTTCTTTTACAAGTACCAAAATATGATTTTTTCAAGGCCAGCCCATCTAAACKATCTGAAATTGCAGCCTGGCTGATCTAGAAAGCTCTCAGACTCGTTTATGAGGATGAAAAAACACACCAGCAGTGAGCATTTTTCCCTCTTCCAGCCAAGCTGTGAATTGCTTCTCCCTCAGCTGCAGCCACCASTTTTTGTGCCAGTTCCTGGAAGGCATCTTGTTCTGAACAACCCTCACTTCTCCAATGCAAAGAGCATTCAGCTTCATCCTCAAGCCTAGAAACACTCAGCTAAACCAGCACAAAACCTGATAAAACTCACAGCCTGAACAGCACAATAAATTTGGACTTGAGCAGGAATGAGAATATCTGGGACTGAACAGAATCCAACAGCTCTGAGGAGTTTTGCTTTGCTTTTGYCTTGCTGTGGGCTCCTGGCTSTRCCACAGCAGTTACAATAAGCAGAGTGAKGACTCCCTGTCCTYTTCATCAACGTAAACCCCTCAAAARTCAATGTTTTTCYCYCTCAGACCCACCCAGAGCTGTGTCTACAGGAAAAACGTGGAATTTTAAAGCAACAACCACATAACTTGGTGTTTCCAAGGCTGCAGAACTAATCGCACCAGCAGACAATTCCATGTAAGATAAAAAGGTGAGGATTAAGGATTAATTAACAGGACACCATCAGCCCTGCTCAGCAGCTACAGATCTTCCAACAGCACATCAGCACTACCAAGTTTAACACTAATGAAAAGCACAAATGTTAAGTAAACTTAGCAGGGATCAGCGACCCCAAGCATGGAGCAAAGGCTGACAAAGGGACAGCTCAGCACAGCCCCACCAAGCACAAAAACATCAAAYCTAACAAATGAGTCCTTGATCTGTAAAGTGTAATTACTTAAAAGAACAGGTATTCCATGAGTACTTTGAAATCCCAAGTTACTTTCCACTGGAAAACAGGAAAGAGATTATTACTAAATCACAAAGAAGTTATCCATATTCTGCACATTGTGATTGGGCAAAGACCCCCGAACACAGTTCAAAAAATTTAAACAAGAAACAAAAATTAATATAAGGAAAAAACCAACACCCAAACCAACAAAGAGCTGAAAAACAAACGTCAGCATTACATGGGACTGGAACCCACACTGGCTGCACTTCACAAACAACCAAAAACACGGGCTCCGCAATCAGATTCCTTCTGTGTTGAAGGAATTACGCAATTGCAACATCCCCACCTGATCTAAAGTCGTTCGTTTTGCTTTTCTTTGCGTTTTTGAGAGTTCTGGAAATGTATCATAATACGATGAACCTGAACGTTATTTTTTCGTATTTGAACTGCTGAGTCCGCGATGAGCAGCAGGGACCCTCTGCCCCAAGAGCTCCGCGGCGCAGCCCGAGACGCGCGGTCCCCGTTCCCAAAACTCCGGGAGCCAAAAGCCAACAACTTCCTCTGTCTTTGCACAGCCGCTCCCGCTCCCATCGCTCCCTGCACTCACGGAACACCCTGAGCTGGAAAGGACCCACMGGAACSCTSGAGTCCAAGCCCSGGCCGTGAACGGGACACCCCAAAACCACCATCGTTTCACCCCAGCTGTGTTTTGGGACGGTTTCCCCTCAGCCGCGCAGCGCCCCCACTAGGACGCAGTGCAGTGACGGTGAGGGCTCTGAGCGCCAGGAAAGCGCCGGGAAAGCGCCGAGCCCCGCAGCCCTGCCCGTGCCAGCCGCTCCCCAGCCCGTGCCCGCCCGGCACGGCCCTCCCGGTCCCACTCACGCCTGTCTGCGGGCGATCAGTCGGTGCATGGGCGTCGCCATCTTAGCTCCCGGGCCGGAAGTGAGGGTGTCACGGGGCACACGAGGATGTGTGTCCGGCGCGGGGCATGCCGGGATATGCCGGCCGGTGGGCGGGCTGCGGCCGCCATTGAGCGAGTCCTCACGGGCCATAGAGACTGAGACCTCCAGCGGCCAGAGCGGCCGCGCCGGTGGGACCGCACTCTCTGTCGCCCTCAGCCGCTCCCGCCTTGTCATTGCCGCGCCCGGGCCCGGGCCTGTTCCGTTCTCTGCTCCCGTCGTGGTTTGTTCGGTGGGCAGTCACCCAACTCCGATGGTTTAATTTGTAAAAATTAAATCTAATTGTCTTTCATGTTTGACGGGAAACTATGCAGAAAGTGAAATGTGTCATTTTAATATTTATTTCCCTGTAAATTCTTGAGGTAACGGAACWTGTGGAAGTGGCTCATGGGTAACTGGCGGCACAGAGAGGTGGGATTTTGGAGACCTGGGTTATCTTTGGTGTGATTCATATCTGAGGTTAAAGCAAGCTGGTTCCCAGCTCCCTCAGCTGAGGGGATCGCAAAGCCCTTTCCTATTTGAATATCCCAGAATAGCCCGATGAACCTTACGTCAGGTGACGTGTGAGGGCTATTAACAGCAGCCCAGGAAGAGCCTGCGACAGACACCAGCCAGGAATTATTTTAAGCCCACATTCGTGGTCGTGTTTGGCTGGCGTTAATGAATTCTGAGACTGAATTGGAACTGCAATGAACTGTAAACTTAGGCTGGGATTTATGGGAGAGCGCTGGGATGAGCCATGGTGGTGGATTTCCACTGAAATMAKATATCTGTTTCTCATGCAGATCACAGGAAAAGGAGGGTGTGCAGTGTGCCAGACAAGGATTTATATGTGAAGCTCYCYGAAGGAGTAAGTTTTGGGAAAGTCTGGGGRTTGCAGGCTGAGATCAGGAGTGACCAAGGCACAGAGTGAGTAAATCACAGTGTAAATCACAGTGAGGATACTCTGAGGAGCACCACGTGTGACCAGAGCTGTGTGCTGGGGCTGGCAGGGCCCCTCTCCCCCGCCTCCCTCCGTGCCCAGGCAGCAGCCCTGGCAAAGCCCCAGGATCATSTCCCAGCCCAGGGTCACTCCAGGTCGCTCCAATCCCCTCTGACACCGGGCTCTGCTCCCGGTCTCTCTTTGGAAAAGCAAAGTGAAAAATATAAAAGGAAGCTGGGTGCACAGGATTGTACAATATTCCCCACGTGCTGCAGCAGCCGGGGCTGTTCCTTGGCACCTTTTCCTACATCAAGGACGTCTKAGGTCAAACACTTCGTTAATATTCTGTCATTAGCACTGTGATGCAATTCCCAGTGCAATTCCCAGCCCACCRGCAGCTGCCAGAGCGGCATCACCCGAGTGGCTGAGCCACACAAGGGCTCTGGGGCAGGAGTTCTTCCTGCCTGCAATATTGGGTTTCTCTGCCGCTTGTTTTGTGTGTCACTAAAACAAGGAGCAGAGATGTAAATACAGCGCTGGGGACCTGGTAACGCACTGTTTATAGCACATTGCACTGCCACATTTTTGGTGTGTTTTATCATGGAATTAAAAGCATTCCCAGACASTCAGTTTCACAAAACTCAGAGATCTAATTATCAGGATCAGGTTTGTGTAAGGATGAAGCCATCAATCATTCAGGCTTTCATCCCCAAAACGCTCCCCTTGGCAGAACCTTTCACACAGCTCCAGTGTCCATGCCCCCTCCACTGCTGAGACTATGGAATGTGCTGGAACTTCTAGGGGATTATTTTTTTTTTTTTAATTTTGATTTAGCTTCTAGGGAATTCTGATCCGTAAAAGGACTTTTCTCCTACACATCCAGGTGTATCTGTACTCATCCAAACTGCAGCAACAGGGGCCTGGTAAGATATAATAATATTCAAATAYTATGTGATGATTATAGACCAAGTGTACTGTAAATCCTACTGGATATAAAGCAATCATATGCTGAATTTTATTGGGAGCGTGCTTGGTACCAAATTATCTTTTAACCACGTTCTCAAATGATGACAGCTTGGATTTTCAACCTGGGATCTCAAAACCAGCCTTCAACTTACCTGTAATTCAGGTACAGTCAGAATATCGAATTCCAGGATRGTTTGKGTTRAAAGGGCCTTAAAGATCAYYTGATTTCACCCTCTGCCATGGGCAGGGGCACCTGCCASTATCCCTGGTTGCTCCTGGTCCCATCCAAGCTGGCCTTGGACATTTCCAGKGAATSTGAACTGCGAAAAATTCTAAGGAGGCGTTTAAGTACTTTTCTGCAAAAACTGTGTTTCCAGRAACTGTAATTTTATTATCATTAAATCTCATGGTATGCTGTTTTCCATCAACCCCGTCACCCTCAGGTCCTTACATCACGGGGAGGAAAAAGTTTCACTAAACGGCTTTTCTGTGGCACCAACAGCCTCGGACAGAGGGAAACAACTCGGCGACCTTTGCAGTGTTGCCAGGTTGTGACTTTATCGCCTTTTTCTCCCATTCCTCGAAGCTTACGCAAGGAATAACTTTCCCTGAGGGAAAAGGCGSCGAGCGCGGATCCCCCTCAGAACCCCCCGCCCCTCAGCCCCGCGCGCGCCCCGCGCTCTCGCGAGATCTCGGCCGCCCTCAGCGCCGGCGCGGCCGCGGCCCGACGGGATCTTTCGAGAATTGCCGGTGCCGCGCTCCCCCCTCAGCGCCGTCGCCATGTCCGTGGTGGGCATCGACCTGGGCTTCCAGAGCTGCTACGTGGCTGTGGCCCGCGCCGGCGGCATCGAGACCGTCGCCAACGAGTACAGCGATCGCTGCACGCCGTGAGTGAGCCCGGGAGCCGCGCTGAAGCGGGGGGAAGGAGCCCGCGGGGCCCGGCGTGGCGGGGCCGGAGAGGGAGGGAAGCGGTGGGGCCGGGAGGAGCGGAGGTATAAAGTGCTTAGAGAGAAGCRTTCTAAGCCTTTTCGGGCATCACGGTAAAGTGCGATAGACACGGGTCTCCCGGAGACCCGCTCAGCTGTCTTTCATAGAATCACAGAATCATAGAATGTTAAAGGACCTTAAAGCTCRTCTAGCTCTATCCCTCTGCCGTGGGCAGGGACACCTTCCACTGGACCAGGTTGCTCCAAACCCCATCYAGCCAGGCYTCGARCACTTCCACGGGTGGGACAGCCACAGTTTCTGTGGGCAAYCTTTGCCAGCATCTCATCATCCTCACAGAGAAGAATTTCTRCTGTATATCTAACCTAAWTTTYCYCTCTTTACATCTGAAGYTATTCCTACTTGTGCTGTCAATCCAGTTCCTGATTCAGAGTCCCTTTCCAGCTTCCTTGCAGCCCCTTCAGACGCTAGAAGATGCTCTGAGGTGTCCGCACAACCTTTTCATTTCCAGACTGAACAATCCTAGCTCTCTCAGTTTTTCCGTGCTGTACGGCCGGTTTGTTTCCCCCGAGGCGGGGCTGCGTTCTTGAGATTAGAAGGACAGGGGCTGTGAGTGTAGGGAAAAGCATCCCTGGCTGCTGGAAGTGCCAAACMTTAATTCCCTGTGCGTTCTGGTAGCACAGCTGTCATTCTGCAGTTCCAGCACTGTGCCCCCAGCGCAACAGGACCAGGGAGAGAAGGCTGAGCTGGTGCTGGGCTTGGTGTGAACCCTATGGCCTGTCCTCGAATTAGAGTTTGGAAAAACTGCTCAGCAGCCTGGAGTGCCAGGAAAAGGGGAATGGCTTCAAACTRACAGAGAGGAGGTTTGGATYGGATACTGGGAAAAAATTCTTCTCTGTGAGGGTGTTGAGGCCCTGGCARAGGYTGCTCAGAGAARCTGTGGYCGCCCCATCYCTAGAAGTGGCCAAGGGCAGGTTGGACCTGGAGCAGCTTGGGATAGTGGAAGGTGTCCCTGCCTGTGGCAAGGGTGGCACTGGATGAGCTTTMAGGTCCYTTCCAACCCACATCATTCCATGATACAGTGTGATCAGTATATTCTAGCCCTGCTCATATAATGATCCCTCCCAACACATTCTCAACAGGAGTGTGCATTGCCTTCGTGTAATAAAGAACTTCCTAAGAAGAAGAGAGAGAACTGTGATAAAACTCTTATGAATTAATTGTGAAATGAAAGTATGAAAAGAATTTGTGTCAATATTGGGCATCATACCTAGAGGGGAACTGTGGGGAAGGCTGTCCTAAAAGTGTTTCTGCAGCTTACCCTGTGTTGCAGTATTATTTAATACCTTTATACCTTTATTTGAGCAGATACTGAAGGAGCTGGTGAGGCATTTGCATGGGGGATTTTAGATCCCTCGCATCACTTCAGAAAGCCCAGAGTGACCTTGCTTCTCATTAGACAGTACATCACCATTTGCTTGCTGCTGTCTCTAAGCAGTGAATAAATGGAGAAKGAAATTTTGAATTCAGCACGTGTGCTCAAGTATCTGGAGATCTCTTAAGTGTTCTCAATAATGTGGAAGTTTAAAGGTTAGATATGTTGGGAAAATATTGAATGCGGGGAATATCAGAGCTGTGCTATAGTAGCTGTATGTATTTGGCCCTCAGGGAGTTGAAGTTCTGCTGGTAAATATATCTATATATTTGAGATGTGAGCACAAATCTCCCTTGTTGAAGGAGATGAGCTAAATAAAATATGTGACATAGTGCATCTCTTGGGAAATAATTCAGTTATGGGAGCCTGAAATGGAATTGGAAGAAATGAATATAATGAAAATGAGAGGGTTTTAACAGGGCTTAATCTCCAGGTACTGCTCCGAGGGAATGCGGAAAACCATTCTGCAAGCAGACCCTTGTATTAGAAGAAATTCCAAATGGTTTTTAAGCATCTTGGAAACAGAAGCCTGATTTTAAAAGTCACTGCTGGGCAGTTCTTACAGTGGGGGAAGTCATGCAAGGTGTTGTGACAAGTTTCCTCAGGAACTGGCACGTGGTCAGGGTTAAACACTGTTTTCTATGTGTTATTGTAATAATTTGTATTATTAAACCCACTGAGTGCATTGTACTCAGTTCAGTGGCACAGATGACACTCCCGCAGAATCTGTTTTCAGCTCTGGACCT